GTGTATATGTGTGTATGTATGGATGTGTACGTGTGTATGTCTGCGTGTATGATTACATATATATATAAAAATATAAGTATATATAAAAAATACATACATACATACATACATACATGCATACATACATGCATATATACATATACATGTACATGCACATGCACATACATACATGTGCGTATACACCTCTGTGTATAACCATAAACATAAACATATGTATACAAATACACGTACACGTACATCTGTACAAGTACGTGTACATGTGCATTGACATACACATATACATATACGTATACATGTACGCATACATGTACAGATGCATATACAATTATGCATACGTATACAGACCCACATGCATATACACATTCATGAACATGTAGACGTACATATACACATACCTATAGATATACATGCTCGCATGCATGTATATATACATATACATATGCATTTACATAAGTATACACATAAGCATTTAAATGTCCATATGCATATGCATCTACAAATACGTATACGTATACACAACCATATACACTTACGACTACATATACACATGCAACCATATACACTTACGAATATATATATACACATGCACATGCATATATATGTACATAGACTTATACATGCACATGTACATATACATATACATAAGCATATACATAGACCTCTAAATATGCACATACAATACCTATACAAATGCATGTGTGTATATATATATGTACTCACATGGACGTATAAGTATACATACACGTGTTCGTATACATATACAACGTGAACCTAAGCATGTACATAAACATGTGCATACTCATATACCTGTGCATCTACATACACATGCACAACTACGTATACAAAAGCATGTGCATACACATGTACATATACATATACATAAACATGCATGTATACATACCCACCTGTCGACCTGCATTCATACATACATGAATACATACATCGATCTGTGCATACATACAGAATGCATACATACAACTTGAATGTGCCGGAAGGTGGCGCACGAGCGAAACGCCAGTGGCCCTGGCCAAACATGGTGGCGAACGAGCGCCTGATGCGGAGCGGAGGGATGGTTGAGGCAGAGTATGGGGGGCAGCGTGGGGGAGAGAGAGAGAGAGATAGGGCGAGAAAAACTACCAAAGAGAGAGAGAGAGGTAACCAGACTTGAGGCCAGCCCTCAACCAAGGGACGGCAGAACCTCACTCCCCTGCTCCTGTTTCTCCTCTTCCTCCACCTTTTCCTCCTCCCACTCCTCCTCCTCCTGTTCATCCTCCTTTCCACCTTCTCCTTCTCTTCTTCTTAATACTCGTAGCATTAGGAATGTTATTTATGCGATTAATACTATGACGAATATGACTATTAGCACTCGTATTACTAGTAATCGCCGTGTGAGTGTGCTTATTATCATTAGTATTAGTGTTAGCATTATTATTAGTTGAATTATTGTCACTATTATTCGTCTTATCATTATTGGTATTCGTCTTCATATTCTTCTTAGCATCACTCACAGTCTTAGCATTATTACTATTACCTTTAAAAGTATTACGTTATTTCTCATTGTCTTTTATTATTAGTACTCTTTTTCGTAATGTTTTTAATACTATTTGTCTGCTCCTTCTTACTAGTCTTCTTCTTATTCTTACTATCAGTAATGCTATTGCTGTGTTTCCTCCTCTGTTTCCTGTTCCTCATCCTCCTCCTCCTGTGCCTCCTCCTCCTGCTCCTCCTCTTCCTACTCCTCCTCCTCCGCCTCCTCCTCCTCCTCTTCCTCCTCCTGCTCCTCCTCCTACTCCTCCTCCTCCTGCTCCTCCTCCTCCTCTTCCTCCTCCTCCTCCTCGTCCTCATCCTCCTCCCCTTCCTCCCCATCCTCCTCCTCCTGATCCCAATCTCCCCCTCCTCTTCCTCTTCCTCCTCCTCCTCCTCCACCGCCTCTCCTTCTGTACATTATTAATACGATCATTGCGCATATTCTTGTTAGAATTGTGAATATTCTGCTTCTTGGTGTTATTATTTTTGCTACTAGATATAAGTGTAGCATTCGCCTTCTTAGTATAATGAAATTAGTATACAAATTACTCGTATCACGTCATTAGTAGGCATCCGATTCGTGCTCGCCTTATTATTCGTGTTCGTAGTACCGTGGTTATTGTAGTAATAGTCGTATTGTTATTGGCATCGCTATACGTATTCGTCTTAGTAGTGTTATTGCTGGTAGTGGTAGTCTGCACCTTCGTACTCTTAATCGTATATGTAGTATCCGTCGTAGTAGTCCTCTTAGTATTAGCATTACTCGTGTTAGTACGGTTGTTGATATAAGTAGTTGGCCTATTCGTCGTAATCGCCGCCTTAATATTATCAATATTGGCCATACTAGTACGCTTAATGGTATTAGTCTCCGTCCCCTTCTATTATTCGTATTATAATGCTTGTTCGTACTACCGATACCAATCTGAATGCCCTTAAAATTAGCATGATTCCTTCTTCTTAGCTTTGAATTAGCTTCTTCATATTCTGCTTACCCTTCGTATTAGTATGGCAATTGTTGGTACGAGTATGGTTCGTAGTCTTCTTCTTCGTATTACTCATGCTTATGGTGTCAGTCGCAGTGTATTGCTTATTATCCTTAGTATTACTGCCTTATGTTCTAGTATAAATGTGTGCAGACTTCTTCTCAGAATTATGTTTTATTCATACTCGCATTATTCACAGTAGTAGTATTATTATGATTGTTGGTAATATTAGTAGTGTTATTAGTGTTCATCGTCTTATATTAATAATATGGTTGCTCTTCGTATTAATAATAGTATGCGTGTCCTTACGACTTGCATTATTAGTTTGAAGCATTATTAATATTCTTGATCTCAATAATACTACTAGCATGCTCCTCACTAGTGAATGATCATTGTTCTTTTTAGTAGGTGTTTATTCGTCCTCCTCCTCCCCTTCCTCATCCTCCTCCTACTCCTCCTCCTCCTCTTCCTTGTCCTCCTCCTCCTCCTTCTTCTTCCTCCTCCTGCTCCTCCTTCTTCCTCCGCCTCCTCCTCCTCCGCCCCCCCCCTCCTCCTGATCTGCTTCCGCTCCTCCTCCTCCTCCTCCTCCTCTCGCCTCCTCCTCCTCCTCCTCCTCCTCCTCCTTCCCCCTCCTCTTCCTCCTCCTCCTCCGTCTCCTCCTCCCGACCGCCTCCCAAAAACCTTTCTTTCGCTCTCTGTCTCTCTCCTCACCCCAACTCCCCACCTACCTTTCCTCTTCATCCTTCATCACCCCCCTTCCCATCCACGATCCTCCATACTGCACCGCCCTCATTCACATCCATCTTCCAACCTCTACCCGCCTCCTCCCGCGCCATCCGCCTCCTCCTCCTCCTTTTCGCTTTCCGCCTCCTCTTCCTCCTCCTCCTCCTACTCCTCCTCCTCATGCCCCTCCTCCTCCTCATCATTCCTCCTCCCTCCTCCTCTTTCCTCCTCCTTCCTCCTCCTCCCTCCTCTCCCCTTCTCTCGTCATCCGTCCATCCTCCTCGTCCCCTCTTCCTCCTCGTCTCCTCTCTCTCCTCCTCCTCTTCCTCCTCCTCCTCCTCCTCCTCCTCCTCCCCCTCTTCTTCCTTCCCCCTCCTCTTGCTTCTCAGCCCTCATCCCTCTAGCCTCCTCTCCCCCCACCCGCCTTCTCTTCAGGTCCCAGTACTCGGAACGAGCGACCGAAGGACTGAGATCGGATAGGGAAACAAGCGCGTGAGCCGCAGGCGACGCAGAAGGGCGGGGGAGAGGGGCTGGCCCTTGTCCCCCCTGAGAGGAGGACGGATGGGCCATCATCACAGAGGCCCTGGCCGCCGTCCGCAAGCGTGCGATTTCCAAGGCCCCAAATCTCGAAGAGACCGCCACGCGCGGCCGCCCGCGCTCCTCGCCCGCGAGGCCGGCGCGGCCAGCGCGCGCGCCGCCACCGCCGGCGCCGAAGGCGCGCCCGCCCGCTCCTCGCCACCGCGCGCAGCCTGGGAGGGGCAGCAAGGAAGCGCGACGGTGGCCCCGCGGGGCGCCGCACTGGCGGCACAGAGGCGGCATTTCCCCGCCCTCTGGGCGCCGAGGCGGCGGCCCCCCAGCTCCTCGCCCCTGCGCGCCACCTGGAGGGTGCTGCAGGGACCTCCAGGGGCGGCAGGGCGGGGCGCCGCACTGGCGGTACTTCCCCGACCTCTGGGCGATGGGCCCCACCCATGCTGGACGCCGCTCCACCTCATGGGGCGGTCGCGTGGTTGCCCCTGGCTTGGGGGAAGGGTCTCGGGCTGCTCGGCGAGCTGCTCCCCACCCCGCCCTGACAGACGCGCCGCCCCTCCTGGCTGCCGAGGCCCCGCCCACGCCGCCCCTCCAGCGGCGGCACGCTCTCCCAACCGCGCGCCAGCGGCGCGCAGAGGGCCCACGGGCACCCCAGCCGCATCGTCCTCCACCAGTCGAAGGGGGGCCACACTGCTGCTGCCAGCTGCGCGGGCCTGCGGTGTCTTGCCTCGAAGCCGTCTGTGATTGTCCGTGCCCTCCAGCTGTGTGCCAACAGCAGCGGCTGCGATCTTGAAGGCAAGAGCGCCCCCTGAGAAGAGGAGGAAGAGGAGGAGGAGGAGGAAGAGCAGAAGAAACAGGAGGGGAAGGAAGAGGAGGGAGGAAGGAGTAAAGAAGGAAGAAGCGGATTTTTCTTGAAAAATAGCAAAACGCACATGCAAGTAGTCAGCGGGCGAACGAGCGAGCGAGGAGGGTGAGGGTCCGAAGCCGGTCTGGATCAGCGGCCATCGAGGCGCAGCGAGACTTCCAGTGCACGGCGGGGCCCAGGGCGCGAACTGCGGCGGGCGGCAGGAGTGGCCGCCCGCAGGCAGCGCGGAGACCAGCGCGCGAACTGCAGGGGAAGCGCTGGGGTTTGGAAGCTGGCGTGTGCAATGCCTGGCGAAAGGAGGCGGGGGAAGGTGGGGCTGAAGCGAACGAGGACGACGACAGCGACGACGACGACGACGACGACGACGACGCGGCCAGCGGCAAGCGCCAGGCCGAGATTCAGCCAGGACCAGAAGTCGGCGTAGCTATTGACGTCGTAGATGTCCTAGGGCAAGGCAGGATGACCTTCCGTACTGGCATCGCCTTCATATCTTTTTCATCCTCCTCCTTCTCCTCCGTCCCCTCCTTATCCTCATCCTCCTCTTCTTCCTCACGACCACCAACGTCAGATCATCAATCGTAATCACGATCATGCTCATGATCAACCTCACCCGCATCGTATGATCATGATAAGCGCCATCATCACCATCACCGTCATCAGCATCAACATCAACAACATCAGCATCATCTTCAGCATCATCGTCGTCATTATCATATGTGCAGTGGCATCAGCATCAGCATCAGCATCATCACCAGCATCATCATCAACAACAGCATCAACATCGTCGCCATCATCATCCGCAATCAGCTTCGTCGTCATCGTCATCAGCATCATCATCATTAGCATCATCAGCATCATCAGCATCAATCCCATCAGCATTATCAGCAGCATCATCAGCAACAGCAGCATCATCACCCCTCTCATCATCCGCATCATCATCCGCATCAACAATATCAGCTACAACGACATCAACACCAGCAACTGCATCATCAGCAACAACGGCAGTGAAGGCAACACTACTACTACTACTACTACTACCACTACTACTACTACTACTACTACTACTACTACTACTACTACTACTACTACTACTACTACTACTACTACTACTACTACTACTACTACTACTACTACTACTACTACTACTACTACTACTACTACTACTACTACTACTACTACTCATACTACTACTACTACTACTACTACTACTACTACTACTACTACTACTACTACTACTACTACTACTACTACTACTACTACTACTACTACTACTACTACTACTACTACTACTACTACTACTACTACTACTACTACTACTACTATTACTACTACTACTACTACTACGACTACTATATCTACTACTACTACTACTACTACTACTACTACTACTACTACTACTATAACTACTACTACTACTACTACTACTACTACTACTACTACTACTACTACTACCACCACGACTGCTACTACTACCATACTACTACTACTACTACTACTACTACTACTACTACTACTACTACTACTACTACTACTACTACTACTACTACTACTACTACTACTACAACGACTACGACTACGACTACGACTACTACGACTCCTACTTACTACCGACTACTATTCTACTACGACTTACACGACTTACTAAGGTTACACTACTACTACTACGACCACCACAACGACTACTACTACTAATTACTACGGCTACTATGGCTCATCAACAGTAATAACGACTACCACTACTACTGACTACTACTTACTTACTACTACTACTACTACTACTACTTACTACTATACTACTAATACACTACTACTACTACTACTACACTACTACTACTACTACTTACTACTATACGACTTTACGACTACTACTATACTACTTACTACTACTACTACTACTACTACGTACGACTTACCTACTTCTACTCTACTACTGCTACTACTGCTACTACTACTACTACTACTACTACTACTACTGCACTACTACTTACTTCTTCTACTACTACTACTACTACTACTACCACCACCACCACCACTACCACTACCATTACCACTACTACCACTACTACCACTACTGCCACTACTACTACGACGACGACAACAATCACAGCAACAAAAACAAACACAAACACAACAGCAACAGCAACACCAACGCGACGACAACAACAGCAATAGTCACGAAAAACAATAACCACAACAACAGGAACAAGAACCATCTTGCTAAGACTGGTCGCTCCTATCTGCTCGCGTGCCATTCAACACGTGTATCCCGAACCCTCGATACCCGCCCTCTTCGTCTTCGACCGTACCCCATTGGGGTATACCTGTATTACCTGCAACGTGTATTTCGTGCAGCCCCTGAGGCAGGGGAAGAGAGGACGGATGGAAGGCAGGGGTAAGGGGGAGGGAGAAGGATGGAGCACGAGAGAGACTAGGAGGAGGGGGGCTAGGAGCAGAAAACACATGGCAGAACGAGACGGGCAGATCGGGCGGGTAGACCCGACCAGGCGGGTCGGGAAGGAGGGCCCAGGCCACTGAATGAACTGCGAGGAAATCCTACGCGAGAGCGCGAGAGCGCGATGTGGGAATGCATTGTGAGGAAGTATCAGGCGGGGCCCAAAACATAGTTTGAAGAGTAAGACTTCCCCTGATAAAAAAAGCAAAAGAAAAAACCGGACGCGAGCCCCGTGGAGGGAACTTCACTGGAAAAAAACGGATATGTTACCAGGGGGTCAACAACAATTACTCTTCAATAGCGAGAAGACAACAGCAACAACAAGCAACAAACAACAAACAACAAACAACAAACACGACAACAACAACAACAACAACAACAACAACAACAACAACAACAACAACAACAACAACAACAACAACAATTACTAGCACGTGGGGACACTCCGTTCTCACCAGTGCCAGGGTTTTCATAGGAGGCGGGCAATACCCCCACTTTGTGGGGGGGCCGGTTCAAGCTCTACCAAATTTCCAAACGACTCTTCGCCACCACCCACACCCAGCTTCCCGCCCTATGACGTTCGGACACTTCACTTCGTGGCATGCGGACGACCGTGGCTACTATTCAGGGCCCCGCGGCCGACGACGACGGCGTGCGCGCGCGAAGAAAAAACGAATGTGTCCCGCATGGTATTATTTGACAGGGATGATGGCCCTGGCAGGTGCGCAACCGTTGTTGGAGAAGTTCGAAGCACGTGAAAAGTTGCTCGCAAAAGCCCGTTTGACAGAAATGTTTAAAAAGTGTTGGGTTTCCTACGAATCCGCAAGAGCGCGCGGGATGAAATTTTGACAATTTTTTTTTGAAAAACCATTGGTTGTTTGATGTTTTTATGTTAAAATCGCTACGAACACTAAGGTTTTGGAAGGATTTCGTCTTGCGCGCGCGAATGTCCACTTTACCTTATTTTTTGCAAGGGATTCTTGAAGTTTGGTTATGTTAGAACAAGAAATGTCCACTTTAGCTTGTTTTTTGCAAGGGAAAACCGATCGTAACAACACAACCGGATCCGGACTCCCCCGTTTTGCCTGAGACTTCCTCACGAAAATGATGAAAATGAGGCTGCGGCCTAGGCGCGGCGGGGGGGTCGTGCACCAGGGGCCCCAACAATAATTATTCTTTAGAAGTAATAATGTTCAACAACAACAACAACAACAACAACAACAACAACAACAACAACAACAACAACAATTACTAGCACGTGGGGACACACCGTTCTCACCAGTGCCAGGGTTTTCATGGGACGCCGGCCAATACCCCCACTTTGTGGGGGGGCAGTTCAAGCTCTCCCAAATTTCCAAACGACTCTTCGCGACCACCCACACCCAGCTTCCCGCCCTATGACGTTCGGACACTTCACTTCGTGGCATGCGGACGACCTTGGCTACTACACTGGCGCATGGGTACAGTGACTTGTTGTGGTAACATTTTCTGGACGCTAGCTTAGTACACGACTTTTCCCACTTTTCAAACACTCGACACCTGTACTGGTTTTTGGTGGTAACATGTTTCTGACGCTAGAATAGGAAATCACGGTATACCAGTACAAGGGATGGTGGCCCTCGCAGGCGCGCAGACGTTGTTGAAGCAGTTCGAGGTGAGCGCAAAAGTTGCCCTCGAAGCCCCGTTTGATAGGAATGTTGAAAAAACATTGGTTTTGGAAGGATTCAGCATGCGCGCGGGGGCAGATTTTCGAATTTTTGGATGAGAAAGTGGTGTGTTTTCATATGTTTTCTTGACATCGCATCTTGAAATTGTTGAAATCACAGTGTGTTTGGCAGGATTTCGAGGTGCGCGCGCGGCGGCCGCGCGCATGTGCCCCGCGTGTCATTTTTTGCAAGGGATGGTGGCCCTCGCAGGCGCGCAGACGTTGTTGAAGCAGCTCGAGGTGAGCGCAAAAGTTGCCCTCGAAGCCCCGTTTGATAGGAATGTTGAAAAATCATTGGTTTTGGAAGGATTCAGCATGCGCGCGGGGGCAGATTTTCAAATTTTTTTGATGAGAAAGTGGTGTGCTTTCATATGTTTCCTTGACATCGCATCTTGAAATTGTTGAAATCACAGTGTGTTTGGAAGGATTTCGACATGCGCGCGCGGCGGCCGCGGCGATGTGCACTTCGTGTCGTTTTTCGCAATGGATTCTTGAAATGTGGCTATGTTAGAACAAGAAATGTCATTTTATATTGTTTTTTGCAAGGGAAAGCGGGGGGGAACAAAACAACCGGATCTGGATCACATCGTTTTGTCAAGGGTTTTCGCTCGAAAATGATGAAAACAAGGCTGCGGCCTAGATAAAACGGGGGGGGTCGCGCACCAGGGGTCCCAACAATAATATTTCTTTAGAAGCAATAACATTCAACAACAACAACAACAACAACAACAACAACAACAACAACAACAACAACAACAACAACAATAACGACAACGACAACGACAACGACAACGACAACGACAACAACGACGACGACAACACTGTTAAGACTGTGTGTTCTTATGCGATCGCGTGCCACGCAACGCTTATATCCCAAACCCTCGATACCCGCCCTCTATGCCTTCGACCGTACCCTCTCGGGAGGATATCTTCCTTACGTGCCACGCACATTTAGCGCAGCCCCTAAAACAGAGGAAGGGGGGACGGATGGAGGAATAGAAGGATGGACCACGACAAAGGGCCTCTCGGAGCAAATCGCGAGGAAGCATCGAGCGGGAGCCCTTGTCACCGCGGCTGCGCCCCCACTAATTTGACCGAGTTGCCAGGAAGTCTCCAGCGAGAGCGCTATTCCTGAATTCGGGACCCTCTCTGGCCAGGGCCTCCCGGAGTAAACCGCGGAGAAATATCGAGCGGGAGCCGTGTCGTCGCGGCTGGGCGTCTGCGAACTTGATTGAATTGCAAAGAAGTCTCATGCGACAGCGCCGTTCCTGGGGCCTCTGCGGGCTG